GGGGTGTACCCTGAGAGATGATATCAACTACATGTTATCCCATGTGTTTGTGTGTATGAACAACCATATTAAGAATCTCATTTCTTGATCTTTAACACTGCACTTAAGATGATGCAAAAGTAAAGAAATGATGCTGCTGATTAAATATTATTGTTCAAAAGCCTTGGTAATGGAAAAAGAAATTGCTAAAACATCACAAAGTTAGAATCTTCAATTTTTGCATTGCCGATCTCATGAATCTCCACAATAATATAATTTGAATAATCACATTCAGGGCATTTTTTTATTCTGCAAATGAATTTTTTATTGTTAATTGGAAGTTGTTTACTTACTTTGCTTGGAGGAGACCTGTAGTATTCTTGATAGAGAGGAGCATCCTCAAAAGGGGTCTCCAAGGGCAGTGGCGGCAGTGCTTTCCGAGGTCGTAAAGGAGTTGCAGGCTGAGAATTTTTCCAGCGCACCATGTTTTGTAGGGAGAGACTAGCATTGCTTGGTGTCCTGCACACCCTTCTTCCATGAAGTCGACCTGTGTCACTACCAGACTCTATAGCTGAATCTGATTCATCGTGTAGGTCGTCCAGCTGATCATCTGGGTTGCCCGGAGAACTCACAGGAGAACAGGATTTTTGAACACTTTGTAATGAATTGTAATAAGCATGGGATGCATCCTCAAGATTTCCACTATCCGATGAATACCTACTTCGCTCTGAAGAAGATCTTATAGATACTGAGTCTGGTTTTACATATATGTCAATATCATCATAATTGTCATTAGAATCACAATCAGAATCCTGGAGAGTTGTAACTTCAGACTGACCTTGAGAGTTCATATCAACATATTGCACATCTTCATAAATGTTATCTTCAACATCACTGTTCATATTTGACTCATTTGGGGACTCACTTGTATTATGTGAATTTGCTAAAACTACATTGTAATCATCATCAACATCATCCTCTGAATGTTTATGATTCATTCTTTTTTGCATACTACATGTTGCACATTTACAGTCTAATTCACTTGTCTGACTATCCATTACGTACACATAGTCATAATTATTGTCTGTTGTGTCATCACTGACTACTAGTATTTTCTTTTTATCACAGCATACCAGTTCATTTGTTGCTGAGCAGTACAATTCATTGTTGAAATACAATTCTGATGATGATCCAAAGTACTCAGAATCTCGTTCGTTATTTTCATTTTTCAATTTTTCTGAACTTTCTTTCACTGCCAAATCACAATCAGTATTCCCAGCTAAATCATACTCATTTAGAGTACATTCTGAGGATGAATCATGTCTTGAACCTCCACATAAAGTACTCCTTGATGAACCGCTGTGATCTGAATTTGTTGCATTTTCTTCATAGATATCTTGATTTTCACAGTTTGTCAGTTTACTGTCTGAAACTTTTTCTTTATAGCTGGAATCTTCATTACTCTTCCTTTTATCCTCTTTTCTTACCAATACATTTTCATTTTCAGGTTTATTAAATAAATTTTCTTCAGACTTCGAGAATTGTTTACTAGAATTTTCTTTTACATTACTCCGAAAATGTTCATTGTCATTTAATGGGATATCAACAATAGAAATTCGCTTAGCGTTCATAATTATATGTTTCTCTGAGGATGCTACTTTGGAATTTAAAGATGTTTTATTAGGTTTCTGTGTTGAAGTTCGCAATTTTGGCACTATGTCACTGACTATATTGGTAAGGTTAGATTCACTCCTAAATGCATGTCTATGTGGTAAGGCCTGTGATCCATTATTCACATTTGAAGTCTCTGGTTTTCCACTCTCATAACCACCTTGTACATTAATAGCACTATTAAGTTTAATACTTAACACCGTTCCCTTGGAAGCACTTTTTCTCTGCTGTTCGGGGGATTTTACTCTATTTCTCGATTTTGTACTGAAAAGATCCCTGGAAGATGGTGAAGCTACTGCAGTAAGCTTTTGCTTTAGTTCATTTTCTTTGTTCACACATGAGGACTTTGGAATACTGCTAGTTGAGTTCACGTTTTGTTTCTTAAACACTTCAGGGAAGGTAACTCGAGTACATGCATCACAACACTCATTTAATTTTTTGTCTAGTGCACTGACAAATGATGCATCTGATGAAGATGCAAGAACTTTGTAGCAGTCTTCTAAAACCTGCAATCAAAGAAAAGTCAAATCACACAAATGCACACATAAAATTTTGGCTACAAAAACACTACAAATTTAAACATTTACCTCAGTAATTCTTGACAAGGTTCGCTTGCAATGGAAGTGATCTAAATGACTGTTGGTGACTTCCAACACACCTCTCATCTGTTGTAAAATTTTGCGAATAACAGTGAGGTGAAGTAGTGGCAAGTACACTCTTTCCAGATCATACAAGTTACTATAAGCTTGGGCTTCCACCTCAGACTTTTTAATCCTGTTGGTTAGGAAATACAAAAACAGATGATAAAAATAATTTATCAATGTGTAACGTAAAATTTAAATGGAAATATAATTTTGTAAATTTAATACAACAATAATAGTAATATTAAAAGTGATGATGATAATGACAATGATGACTATGGCAACAATGATGACAATGAACGGTGATAATTGTGATCGTAATAACAATGGCAACAGTAGTAATGATAATGATGAGAGCAATCACAATGCAAGCTCTGTAAATCCTTCTTTTTCTTCTTTTATATCTTAAAAATTGTTGAATGTTTGGTAAATAAATCACAGATTTTGTTGTTTCCTTTGAAGTATTTTTCAAAAATGATTGAACATTTGGCAATAATGTAATATATGAAATTGTTCTTGGTTGTAAGAACCCCATCCCAATTATGATGTTCACTTTCAGAGATTTACAATTGACTTGACAATTATCATTACATTCAGGTTAACATGTATTCATAGAAAAACTTACTTTGCTCCACTAATAACACTTGATAATTCATGGAGATGACTGGTATATGTGATGAAAATATCAAACTTGTCCATATACTTTTGAAGAACACCCAGAATACCATCAAAGGTCAGTCTTTTTTGCCACATTTGTTCCATGTCAGATAGTGCACCATCAGAACATTTCTTCACTGAAAATACACAATTATTATTAGTATCACACCATATTTTCATGTGAAGGTTCGTCAACCGATCAAATGAAATAGTTCAGTTTGGTTGGTGAAAGTGGAAAGTCAATTTCCAATTTTTGTCTTCAGTTTCATGAAGGTTGAGAGTTAATTTTAGAACTTTTACATGAAAATTTACTACAAAAGTTCTTGTAAAAGTAATTTAACTTAATCTTAACAGAAGAAAAGTTAGGAATGAAGATATGAAATAGAACTTAAAATGAAAAAGATTCCAGTAAAGAAAACTTTATTTTATTTGGTATGAAATATATATTTTTTTCTGGTGACTGGCAAATCTTACAATTTTAACATCATGGTATAACAGTATCATTTTTTGAAATATTGTTGATATTTTGCAGTGAAATGTTGATTATGAAAAGAAAATATTATTTTAAAGAAATGAAAACTGGAAGTTGCAAAGGCATTAAGTGTGAAATGTACAAGTTGCAATTTAGTATGAAAATATAGTTTACATATTCTTATACAAGTAACCATTATCACTACCTATTATCTTGCAATAGTTGATGATGGCATTATCACTTGTGGAAGAATATTTGAAAGTATTTAAATAACTAACATGTTCATTTCGAATTGCAGTTTTTTCTTTGACACATAATGCTATTGAAAATTCTCAGTGCTTTTCTTTTTCATGTGTGTCGTGCTTCATTTTGAACACCATTCGCATGAAGAAGAACTTTCGCAACGGGTATTTTTGAAGAAAAAAAATGCACATAACATCTATGTTTTTGGCATTCCTGGAGAACGAACAATACGCCCCAAAAATTCTCTTTCCGGTGTTGCTGCAATCCAGACCAGGCTACCCCGTACTAAGATGGCGCACTCCTAGTACGTACCAATTGAGCAGCGGCGTAATGTTCGATCTCGCAAGGCCCGCAATGCGTGAGGACTCAGTCCAAAGAGACCCTATTTTTAGGGGTTCTTTTTATTATTTAATATATTAACACTACTATTGTTTGCTATACACTTTTATAAAGGGGGCCCGGATAATAGTTTTGCGGACAGACCCACACTCATTTCGTTAAACGCTTCTGCAATGGAATACTTCCAGAATGTGATTGATTTTCAGCCTATTGTTTGACCCAAAGAATAGTCATGGGGACGGAATGGATAAGGAAGGAACGCATGCACTTCTTGGCCCATTGTTTAAGGTACTAACCCGGCATCCGCCTGGATTGAAACGAGGAAATCAGGGTAGCGCCCATACAGAGAGCAGCCTCTAGAGTTATCTTCTCGGTCATGATCGATTTCGATCCAGCTCTTTGGCTGGTGTCGAAAGTCTGTAAGCAATCGGATGTCGAACCTAGGACCTACGAAGCATCAGCTGTGAGCGGGGAACTAAATTCGCTATTTCAAGTGGTATGGGCATACTCCAGAAACTACAGAAGCTTATATTTACGTACGTACATTTCCATAAATAAGATCCGTTATATTCATAACGTAAAATTATCGTTCGCTCATGCGCCATTCACTTTAATGATTTATTGTGATTCCGGTTAATTGATTGTTTAGCGCTTCCGGGCACGTCAACTACCAGAGTCATTAGTCCTATAAGACAAATGCGTGTTTTTTGGTCAGGAGGTGGCGGTGACCTTTCCCCACCTGTATGGCGAGATCCGGCGCCGATCTACCGTGGGCTAGAAGAGGTTTCCCCAAACAGGTATCTCCCACCTGCAGGGCACCGCCCCAGCCGGGACAAGCTCTAAGCTCTCGATCGGTCTCAAGACATGTGTAGTGCATGTTAGAGTAAGTAAGGAGTGAGGATAGAACAAGGAAGAGGAAAGAAAGATCGCGCGCGGTCCGTGGCCCGTTTATAAGGGTACTGCCCCGGCATTCACCAGGTGTCGATCGGAGAAACCACGGAAAACTACCAATCAAAGCAGGCGACCGCTAGAAATCTCCTCCAGGCAGCAACAGAACTCGACCAAGCTATCTGACTAGTGTCGAAAATCCTGCCACCGTAGGGACTGGAAGGTAGAACCTCCCGGACAGAGGGACAGCAGTGACATCAGTTGATGCCCTGAGCCATCTCTCCCGGCATCACTTTAATTTAATGCAAAGCATATTCAGTATTACGCTGCACAAACACTAATCCAACCTGAATCGCGAAAATTGGCTTTTCAATTTCATATTGCAACGAATACGGCCCTTTTGGTCCCTAGGAAACGTTTGCGTAATTCCGTTCCTTTTACCACCGGAATCGTTGTGGGGAAAACAGACCTGGCTGGCGGCGACGCCGCTCTCGCGGGCCACATTTTCTCGTCGTCGTGTGCGTGCCGCCCCTGCATACCGATCGCAGGCGCCTGCGTCAACCGCCAGTTGGCGGAGACGTGGCGTGAGGCGGGAGAGAACCCCCAACCCCGGGGGCTGCCCCCTCGTTATGTCGCTCAGACGCGTTTCGGTGTTTGTCTCCGTCTGAAAGAAACCCGCTGGCCGGCCTTACGCTCTATTAACTTCCAGAAGCAACTCGCTGGGAATCCAGGGGGCCGTGACCTTCCCAAACCCATATTTTACTTTCTCGCATACTACTACATACGTGGTGTAGAGAAAGGTATGTAATGTTACACGGAAAAACTTATTTTCCGGAAGAAAAATTCATATTGAAGGCCCCTAATACCGACAAATTGGATCAATCTTGTAATATGTAGTAAATTATTACCCCTAACGAGGTGTGTAATCACAGTTTACGTTGGGTTTATTTGTGAACAATTGTCTGATTGATTTTTGGCTGATGTTGCGGCCCCTTGAATTTAAAACGTGTATTTTAATATTGAGGGTACGTACAAGAAGCCTAAGGACATTTTTAGTTTTTTTCTTAAAAAACGCTCCCAAATTTTTGGATTAATTTCTTTTATCCGGTGGAAGAATGTACGCTTATAAAAATAGCGCAGATTTTACTCTTGCATAAAATTCTATCAGTCATATTCCTATTCTACTAGTATGGGGTTTTTGAATGGATAGCACCATAGTTTATAATATTCTTCAATTTATTAAAAACAGTTACTAAATATTGACAAAGAAAATGTAAACATTGAAAAATCGTTCATATCTTATTTTTTGGTAAACATTTTAATTACGTAACTGTTAACTATTCGAATTCTTTCTTATGGTTAGATAATGCACTTTATCAAAAATGTGTCATATGAAAAAGATATGAAGAAAATAGAGAGATATGAAGGAAGAGACGAATTAAATGGAAGAAATATAAAGAATTTGAGGAATACAGCATACAATTAACGTAGAATAAATTGGAAATAAACTGAGAGTAAAATAACAGAAGATATGTTACAAAAGACAGGAAAGTGAATAAAGAATACGAATAAAAATAGAGGAGGAAATGAAAGGAAAGAGAAGGCGGAAGTGCGTATGAGAGTGTATGAGAGAGAGAGAGAGGATAAAGAAGACGGAAGAAAAAGATAAGAGAGGTAAAGTATAAAATGAGAAAAAGGGGAGAAGAAAGAAAGAAGGATCAGAAGAGAAACAGAATCTCAGAGCAAGAAGGAGAAAAGAAAAAGATATAAAAGATAGAGGCCAAGATTGTCAAAGAAGCAGAGGTAGAGAGACGGAAGTAGGTACAGCAAACTCTAGGGGAGAGAGAAAAAACAGTGTGGGAGGATGAAGAAAGAGAGAAAGAGAGAGAGAGAGAGAGAGCGAGAGAGAGAGAGAGAGAGAGAGAGAGAGAGAGGGGTTGGAAAGAGAGAACGGGACATAAAGACTGATACAAAGAAGCACAGGTGGAGAGGCGGGGCAGAGATCAAGCGAAAAAGAGGAGCGGGTTAAAAAAAGAAAGAAAGAAAGAAAGAAAGAGAGTGAAATGGAAGCCGATATATAGAGAAAAAGATAGTGAGGGGAATAAGGAAGAGAGAGCGAAGAAGACAGAGAGAGGAGGGAGAATGAGAGAGAAAGAAAGAGGAGGCAGAATGAGAGACAAAGAGAGAGGAGGGAGAATGAGAGAGAAAGAGAGAGGAGGGAGAATGAGAGAGAAAGAAACAGGAGGAGGGAGAAGGGGAGAGAAAGGGAGAGGAGGGAGAATGAGAGAGAAAGAGAGAGGAGGGAGAATGAGAGAGAGAGAAAGAGAGAGGAGGGAGAATGAGAGAGAGAGAAAGAGAGAGGAGGGAGAATGAGAGAGAAAAACAGGAGGAGGGAGAATGAGAGAGAAAGAGAGAGAGGAGGGAGAATGAGAGAGAAAGAGAGAGAGGAGGGGGAATGAGAGAGAAAGAGAGAGAGGAGGGGGAATGAGAGAGAAAGAGAGAGAGAGGAGGGGGAATGAGAGAGAAAGAGAGAGAGAGGAGGGAGAATGAGAGAGGAGGCTCACCCTTCTCGAGCACGGAGGCGAGCGTGCGGCGCGCGTAGGCGGGCGTGGGGTGCGGCCAGCCCACGCAGCGCTTGGCGAGCGCCGCCAGGGGCGCCAGCTCCGCGTTGTACGCCGCCTCGCCGGCGGCCAGCGCGAACCGCAGCGACTCCAGCACCAGCTGCGCCTCGCCCAGCCGCTCTGCAACCCACCGCACCCAACTCACCTTCACGCGATATGGCAGCCGCAAGGGGCTCAAGCGTGAGCTACAACTGAGCGTTCTGTTGACATTTTATTTTATTTTATTTCAAGCCAGTGAGTTCCATTAAGGTGCAAGGCTGCCTGCTCAAGAGTTGGGCATCCCATCACAGTTTGCAGCTTCAGCAAGCGTATCATCAAAATGCAAACTTAACAGGAAAAAATATACATTAATTAAATAAAATATATTAGATTAATTTCCTATGCTTCTGATTAAATTATAGTTTCAGGAGTATGGTCCAGGATTTATTTGGATACAGTCGGTTTGTTAATTGTTAACTTTGTAAACCAACGTTTCGAAGCCTCTTCCTCTCTGTAATATACTCGTACATATGTCACGTTTAAAATTATGAAATTTTATAATTAGTCAGTAAATCACAACCATGAAAATGAGGCCGGAAGAGGCCTGGAAACGTTGCTTTACAAAGTTAACAAACAAAAAACCGACTGTCTATAAATAAATCCTGGACCATACCACTGAAACTGTAAAATACATATTATTTGTAAATATCAATTATCATGATAAATGAATTTCATCCTGTTTTCAACTAAATTCACAATATAACAGCTTTTAATCAGAGAATTATCATTGAAAACAATTTTAAATTTACGTTTTGCTGTCACTTTTTTTATAACCACAATAATTCGTGTTTATACGAACTTTCTCCATTTTTCATAATGACATAAGTAATAGGAGAACCACAGCCCCGGCAGAGTTAACCAACGTTCGTAAAATGATTGTGATTCATTTCTACCTGTTACTCATCGACTGCGCCCCTTCCCCAGGTAACGACAAAAAAAATCTGTGTTAAGATGGCAAAATGATATAAGTCAGTTTTTAAAAATTTTCCATGTCAGCAATTTTAACCAACACGATGTCATGAAAAATAACTGTGGATTTTTTCTTATTGCAATTTGCCCTCATTGTTTTCTAATAAAGTACAAATACAAGAGGAGTATGCTTTTTGACTCCTTAATATTAACAAACAATATTGACTTATGTCATTTTGTATCTCACGTCATGACAATGCGACTTATATCATTTTTCCATGGAAGCAGAGAATGCCACAGCATGCCCCGTCCTACGAGTGCACGAGATGAAGCAGTGGACGGTGTCGAGAGGGTCTCCTCACCTGCGGCGCGGGCGGCCACCACCTCCGGCAGCTGCGACCAGGAGAGGCGCTCGGCGTGGCCGTCGGCGCGCTGCACCACTTCCCTGAGCGACGGCCGGCGCTTCAGCGGC